GGCGTATGTTCATCTTCATTAGCCTAGTTATAATCCCCATTCCATTTCATTTGTATATGTAAATATATACAAATTCAACATGCATTAAACAAGAGCTCAATCTGCCTATTGCAGGTCTTTCTTTAGACCTGAAATGTTATCTAAATTATTAATTAGACATTAATTAACTTATCTAGACCATAATCAACCCTCGATTCATCGCTAGCCTGTGAAATTTACTGCATTTGAGTCCGATCTGCTGCTCAACGCTCATTGATGATTAAATCAAAAAATGGATAATCCAGACTATGTTTTTATTATCGTACCGACTTTAGTAATGATGATCAAGGCTAGGCCTAAAATTCAATCTCTAAATTCTCGGTTCAGGGTGGATCATTTTGACTGAAATTCTCAGCCAATTCCCTTTACATCATCTAGTTTTTAACTATTATAGTGAGAACTGCCAGCTAATCACCCAAAGTAAAGTTTATAAATTGCATTTCAGAAAAGGCGATATTAAAATTCTTGAAACATATGTAAAACACAGCATCCTTCTAGGGCGCTGTTTTGGCTAATTATTTATACGCTAATAGTCGCCTTGGTGCTCTACGTCCACCACATCCGAACCGTTATGTAACAGCTCATCAGATACAGGTGTTGTTAGTAAATAATTAAGTAATGATTTGGCTCAAAGGATAACATACATAGTTAACCAAGAACATGCTAAGTAATACTCATTAATAAAGTCTAATGGGGATATTAGTAGTTATTAATTATTTACATGTCCTCTAATCACTGCTACAAGGAGTGTGTATTGTTTAATTCATGCTACATTAAACCAGCTGTCTAAGGTATACTATGGTAAATAAAACTGTTTAAGTCTTCTCGCCAGGACCCTGGGACTCATATATCATATAAGGACTCAGACTAGTAATTCCTCCCCTGTTGACATCAATAATATTAAACTCACTGTATTCCCTGGTCCATAACATTTTATTCAACATTCTGATGAACGGAGGATGAACTTTATAATCACAAAAATCTCAACATTAGACGGGGGGGGGGGGGGGGGAGGGGGGTAACGTCCGCTCGACACCCACGAGGTTGGACAGGTGACCCTACTCCTTGTCACGTACAACCGGGGACTCGAAACCACGCCAGTTGACTCAATGACAGACCTTATGATACATTACGCACACGCTAACCATTCGACCATCCAACCCCCATCACCTGATGGACATATTGAAAGGCGTTTACAATCATTAAAGGAATATATGACGATATTTTTGTGCAAGACTTCCCTCATCCTTCCGCTTCAAAATCATAGTCATTCAACACATCCTGTCAGAAAATGTAAATTGAAATACTCCTCTTTGGGTCTAGACCTAACGATGAATAATAGATGCTGTACAAAAGGTATTCGTGTATCATGAAATCAGGGAAAGCTGTTACTAGTTTCATTCCATACAACTATTCATACAAGCATTTTCGTTAGTGGGAGGCTTTCATTACTATTAGGGGAGGGGGTGGGGCTTGATGGCCGAATGGTTAGCACGGGCGCGTTGTATCATAAGGTCTGTCATTGAGTCAACTGGCATGGTTCCGATTCCTCGGTTGTACGTGACAAGGAGTAGGGTCGCCTGTCCAACCTCGTGGGTTTTCTCCGGGTCCTCCGGTTTCCTCCCACAGCTAAAGTCCCCTACGCGCAAATGAATTATGAAAATAAAGTTGAACCATATGTTAGTCCCGAAATGACCTAGTTTGTGTCGAGCGGACGTTAAACCTCATCTCTCCCTCTCTCTTTCATTACTATTATTTAATAATGGTAGATACAACCACTAACGTATCAGGATTTCCAACATGGAGGGTTGTGGACACAAATGTTTTACAGCACTACAAGTAGGTACTGCAACAGCAAATACGTTTCATATCATAATTCTATTAAAGACTAGAGGTTGAACCGATGTAGCACGGGTATGGACCGGAAGTAACATAACTCTGACACCGGAAGTGGTAATCCATCCCCACCAAGCCATTGTTACTCTCTGGTCGGATCTACACCTATACACCAAATTTCAGCCCCTGGACAGCCCTAATGTAGCCGGTAACGTTGAACAGACAGACAGACAAACAAACGACAGTAACAAATATTAGTATAGATGTATTATGTAAGATTTAGATCAAGAGATGACAGTTCTCAATAAAATAGTTAAAAAAAAGATAATGAAAAGACAATATGTTAAAAATGTCAGTACAATTACTCCATTCTAAGAGGAGAGTTAGATAGAGAGATAAATGGGGTTTAACGTCCACTCGACACAAACTAGGTCATTTCGGGACTAACATATGGTTTAATTTTATTTCAATAATTCGCTTGCGCATAAGGGTCTTGTCACGTACAACCGGGGATTCGAAACCACGCCAGTCGACTCAATGACAGACTTTATGATACAGCGCACGCACGCTAACCATTCGCCATCCACCCCACCCCCATTCTAAGAGGGGTTATTGTCGATTATAGAACAGTGTAGTCACGATTGTCATTGCTATCGTTGTTACTATAATAAACAAAGTCTCGATTGTCCATTTTTTAATCTATATCATTCACCGCTAATCGTATTTAAATTTGTTGAAAATCTAAAGAGAGTTGTTTTTGGTCTTGGCAAATTAATCAATGTCTAATTAATAATTTTATAACATTTAAGGTCTAAAAAAAGACCAGCAATATGCAGATTTAGATCCTGAATGATGTGGCTTTAAATATAGGTTTCTCATATTAACCTCATTAGTTCTGTCCAAATATAACACGTTTCATTGCTTCCATCAAACATATTGGTGCGCTGCGAACGTATTATTTCAGCAGTCCATTTGCTGATTACACTATTTTTCTTGAATACACTATTTTGCCTATAACGTTTTTTAGGACTTCGAATTCTGTCTTATGTTTTGGATTGTTCGTACTTGGTTTTATTTTATTCATATAAAATACAAATTGCGTTTCAAATAACAGCAACATTGATATCAATTGATTTATATATGTTTGTGTTTTATTAATTGAAGGAGACCATATGTTGTATATGCATCATAAACTCGTTACAATTCAGACAAACAGATGGTTCCAAGTTCGGCAACTGGTAAAGAAAAAGTCAATATTGACTAGGTAAATAAGCCAACGTAACTCTCGGTACAAATTAAAGTAGGACTACTGATAGGCAGCAAAATATGTCTAGAGTACATGAAATGAAATGATATGGAGTTTAACATCCTACTTTTCTGCTCCGAACTGGGCTAATGAAGACGGGCATACGCTATACAGTGTGCTATGAGGGAAGTTTTGCCCAGACTGCGGCACTACGGTCTACTCTTATATCGAATTCAAAGTGTTAATGGATCTTTTACGTGCACACCAATGGGGTTTAACGTCCACTAGACACAAACTAGGTCATTTCGGGACTAGCAGTGGGAGGAAACCGGAGGACTACTAGTGAGTACGGGGTTGACTTGCTAACCTGGGGGTCCCTTGTTTGATCCAGGTATTGGCCTAGAAAGTTCATCGGGATTTTCCGGTGAGGAACAAGAGCCCGTCCGGGCCCCCCAAAGACAATATTTATATATGTGTGCGAAGGAGGGGAGGGGAAGGTCCCTCCCAGTACCGCCAAGTAATATCGGGCTGTGTGGAACATGATAGAGTCGATTTGTAGGATATCTGACCGACGGCATATGTTTGATACTGGTTAAACATTATGATTATGATTATAATGTTGAAAAAGGCATTGAAACCGCGTGATTTTTTGCCATTTGTGAGGGTGCGCAAAAACTCAAAACCATTACCCAAAGCTCGCCATTGTGTCCCTCACACTTAGAACCTGATAGTCGTTCGGTTGGGACTACAAATCGAATCCCCGTAAAAACATTGGCATGCACATAAAAAAAACGTGACAGTTGGAATTAGAAATAAGAGTAGGCGATAGCGCGGCTCTTTGTGCAAAATTTCCCTCCTAGCACACTGCATGGCGTGTGTATGTCTTCATTAGCCCATTTCGTTTTTACTACTACTAATAATAACATTATTGTATATTTATATCACCCCCGTTTCAGCCAAAACTGCATGTCACAGACACAGTGGTATATTTAAAAATCTTTACCACTTTCAGTATAACGAGGATAATGTTTTTATTGTTATTAAATTAATATTATATTTGCCATGAACAATTTGGGAAATCCGATCTGTAGGCTGAAGATCTTAAAGAGTGTATGACTCTATCTTTTTGAAACCTTTAAAAATAAACCCCAAAAATTGTTCTAAAAGCAGATATTCATGTAATATGAATCTATGTAAAGTAATTTATAGCCAATTTTTGAAAACAAATATTGTAATTTCTAATCAATCGTTTACGCCTGCTTAGTCCATTCTATACGGTTTTTTTAATTATTATTTTGTCGTTTGTGAATCAGCATTTACTAATTACTACCACATTGAGTATGTTTTTATTTCTTCATTACAAAAAATCACCCGAAACCATAAAAAACACGACTAGTGTGCTGATTATAAAATGTTAATTCTGTATTAAATATTGGATATTTTTTCACTATAAGATAACAACACCAATATTGATTGAAATTGACCAATATTCTAGTTCGTGTGTTTAAATTCGAATATTATAGAAAATATTGAGTAAGAGATCTAGCTCCTTTAAAACAACTCAACTATTTCAATATTCAAGGCTTACGAAATGGTGATAGGTTACTTTTATTTCAGAATGTGATAGCCCCCTTAATTAATGGTATAATCATTTCGCCGGCTTGTAACGAAAATACTTTGCTAGCTATCAATATAACGGGAATAGAGAGAGAGAGAGAGAGGGGGAAATGGGGTTTTAACGTCCACTCGACACAGACTAGGTCATTTCAGGACTAACATATGGGTTTTAATTTTATTTCAATAATTCCCTTGCGCGTAGGTGTCTTTAGCCGTGGGAGGAAACAACGATATAGAGGTATACAATATAAAATGTTCTTACCGCTTAAAACAGGAACAGCAATCAATGAACAAATTAAGAAGGGCTTCAGAATACCAGCTAAATCCAAACGGCTCTTACTTTGCTTAAACTTCATTGTGATTTAATAGAAAACGCGGTTTAAAAAAAGGCAATTCTATTTCTTGTCTAAACCCACTGTGTACAATCCATCACGAAATCACGATAAAATGAAATTCATCTTCCCATTAATTTAACTTTGTAAACTTTTGGGTGTTTTCTTTGGCCATCTTCCGTCCAAATCCCTGATGAAAATACTATGTGTCGTCTGTCACTATCGCGTGCGCGCGTGTTTGGGCGTCTGCTGACGAAGCGAGTATAACAGTTCTCAACTGCGTATATCTATCTATCGGCTTGCAAAATTAGCTAACGAAGACAGCAAGAACGCAGTAACTATCGCCGTAGGTGGTGCTATCTACCTATAATGGTTATGTGATCGAACAGGGAAATCTATCGACTGCAAACTTTAACGACTATGGAAATTGTAAATTTAGCCAATAAATTATTATATTATCTACTAACATGGCAATGACTTATTCGAGTTGGGCGTCGTGATCAGTCGATAATGAACCATCGCCATTTGTCAGCCGTGGAATTGTTATTGATTCCATTGTTATTAATTGTTGAATGTTGATTGGTTTATATGTTTACCCTGATGAGTAGTTATTGTTATTTATAATGACCCTAACATCCATATTGGTTAAAGGAGCTAAATCGCTAGTATTTGGGACCTAGAAATTGACACAAATGGATCGCAACGCATATAATAATGTAATATGAATGTATATAAACTGGGCCCTTATTCACGAAAACTTAAACTAAGATAAAATCGAAATTTTAAGAAATACTGCAACTTCATTGGATATATGCAAATTGATTTTACTGGTCAGCCAATCGAATTGCAGTATTTTTTAAAATTTCGATTTTATCTTAGTTTAAGTTTTCGTGAATAAGGGTCCAGATTTATATTCAATCGTTTCCGTTTTTACTCTAATTTCAAATCAGTTATGTTCGGCGAAATACGCCAGAAGTGTGAATCGAATGGCTACCTCTAGCGTCTGGTTATTCCAGTCTACACCGATAGTATATATTGCGCCTTTCTCGCCAGATAAGAATATGGCTTCACCGATTGACATGACTTGTGGAATTGTCTAGCCTCGTTCTTCGAGTCCCCTATTACAAATGGTGCTGAAACGCATTATGGTACACGATTCGTGTACCAATGGTAAAATGTTTATTTTGTCTTAAATATTGGATATTAGAAGCCCATCTTTTCAAGATACGACAACAACACCAATGTTGATTTAAATTGACAAATAATTCGTGTTTTCGATGTCGAAGACTTTGGATGATACTGAGTTAGAGACTTAGCTACTTTAACAGAAATCAAATAATTGACTTTCTATAGGAAAATAGGCATCAGACGGATTGTATAATCCTCGCGATGCTCCAAGCTAATAAAAGAAATCATGTTTAAACGTGCTAATAGGATCGGATTAACATCTGGGAATTTATTTACGAAAAAATCAAATGAAATGTTTTAAGAAGGAAGTCCTTTTATTGGCTAAAATAGGACACCTGCACTAGATTTTCAACACTCAACCAATGAAAAAGTCGCATTCATATTTTAGTTTAAGTTTTCACGATTAAGGTTCAGTAGCAGACGAGTATATTGATTTTTATTCAGAATGCGCATCGACAAATCTCTGGAACCCACGACCTGCAGACTAGCCACCCAGCGTCTTACCCACTTAGCCACCGTGGCCCTGTGAATCCTAGAATATCGCGATTTTTAAAGTTATCTTTTCCATCAGCAATATGTAAATTTATATAACACAATTAAAGATGCATTATGTAAGAGCTAAATCTAGCTATTGAAGATCTGTCATTTGGAGGGGGGGGGGGGGCGCGTATGGTTAGCACGCGCGCGCTGTATCATACGGTCTGTCATTGAGTCAATTGGAAGGGTTTCGATTCCCCGTTTGTACGTGACAAGGAGTAGGGTCGCCTGTCCAACCTTGTGGGTTTTCTCCAGGTAATCCGGTTGCCTCCCACTGCTAAAAACCCTACGCGCAAGCGAATTATTGAAATAAAATTGAACCATGTGTTAGTCCCAAAATTTACTATTTTGTGTCGAGTGGACGTTAAACCCCATCTCTCTCTCTCTCTCTCTCTCTCTCTCTCTCTCTGTCCTCATATCATTAATTAATTAATTAGATATTTATTCAAATACCGGGCCCATAATCAACTCTCTAGAACATCGGATGGTTGAGATTTTCAACTGATTTAATTACGATCGCAATTTAATAATTTAATTAAAAGTTGGATAATCGAGACTTTATGAACGGTAGCGATGACAATCAAGACTACATAATTTTTCAAACGGACATAACTTCGCTTAGAATGAAATAATTTGACTGAAATTTTCATTATATTCTCTTTTCATTATCTATTTTTAACTATTATAGCGAGACCCGTCAGCTCTTTATAGCAATCCTAAATAATGCATCTTTAAATACAGTCTTTGTGATGGAATAAGAAGTGTTTTAATGTCATTAAATCTGTTCAAAATCTCAGGATTATGAAGCCTTAAAAATCTTTTTAAAAATTTGTCGGATTATAATTTGGCCGAGCGTGGATACACATACATGTACAATGATTTGCTAGTTTACGTCTTAGAGGCTTTTAGCAAAGTAAGTTCCAGACAGACAAGCTAATGTATCGGAGAATGTGAGAGATTTTACGAGATTTGTATGATGGAACCTGGGGCAATGTTAGAGAATTTCTGGGAAATGTCATTTAAAGAGACATCCTGCTCACATGGGAATATTGTGTTTAGTCGTCGTCGCCAAATTATTTTGTTGTTTTGGGATGGTTGGGAATTTCTGTCGTGGTTTCCCCTTGTCAGTGAAAACCGAGGTCCCGTGTATACATTGGCGTGCACATAAAAGATCCATTGGCAGCTGGAATTCGATATAAGAGTAGGCCATAGGGCGGCTTCCCGGGCAAGATTTCACGCATAGCACTCTGTCCGTGTTTATTAGCCCATGCAGTCGGGGCAGAAGAGTAGGACGTTAAACCCAATGTCATTTACCAGCAATAATGTGACGATCAACACAACCACCATTATTCGGCTACTTTGAGCACAGCATTCTCAGACAGCAGGCAGCATATTACATATAAACAGCGAAGGTGTCCCTAGGCGCTTCCGGGGTAATTTGATTTGAAATGAGCAAGGCTTCGCTCGGCGTACAATAGAGTTGTTCGATCAAGCCAAGCACGTTTGAACCAAACAGTATGAACCAAACAAGTTTTCAATAAAATTTCTGAAAACTGTTTCGTTGACAGAGGCAGCAACAGGATTCTTGCTTCTGAGAATAAAAACAAACCATGCAAGTCTGAAAACATGTACTATAGGAACCATGAACATCCCTCCAGTCATCTTGATGTCAAATCAAAACTCGAAATTTCGAATCGATGCACAATTGTCTAAAGAACAATCACTCCAATTTTCAGATCGATCATACCAAAGAAGAACAAGAAGAAGATTTCGAAGTATATACAACCGGTTACAGATCGTTATGGCTTTAACAAGATTATGAACGGATGAAAACGGACGAGGACAATATAGTCCTACATATAATGTGGACGTAAAAAGAACAGTGCTTCTAAATCAGTAAATTAATAATTTTTATTTTGAAAAAAAGGGTTTTTTTATTTTTATGTCTGTATGTTTGCATCTGAAATGGTATCTGAATAACATGCCCGTTAAATTGAATGTAGGTTATGAAAAAACTGTTGCTTTATATAATATTTTAATTATGATAAATTATGTCGCAGCAAAAATAATAAACAGAAAAAAGATCCTTGGTTGTTGAGATTTTTATGGCAATCGACCATTCTACCTTTAACCGACATGTGTGTCAACTGGGTCTACAGGTAAAAGTGTTACTCGACCCCATTGGGTTAAAAATTCGTTGAGGTCGACCTTTTGGTCATCTGAAATTACAATTGATAATCTGAATTTGAGCATATATAATTAGAGGCCACTGACCCCGCCAAATTCTGTTAGTTCTCAAACCAGGCCTCGAGTTCACAAAGCATTCTCAGACTTAAGTTAAGAATTTACTCAACCTTCAATCATTGTTTATGAGAAATATCTTTGATCCAGAAACACGAAACTTTGCACATAGTTTCTAATAGATGTATTTGATACATTAAAACAACAAAAGTTTTATAAAGGGCTATATTTCAGTTTTAAAAAGGCGAACAATTTTGGGTAAATTCTTAATTTAAGCCTGACAATGCTTTGTGAACTTGGGTCCAGGGGTTCTAAGTTAATCTGATCTGTAGTACAAGAGAACTAACAATATGAATTTCAAAGTAAAGGGAGACTACTCCATATTCGTACCCCCCAATTCCTTTATCGCCTTCAACCACTAATTGAATTGTAAAGTTGTATTTATAGAGTCATAAAAGAAATCTATACTTACTATTCACATCAAAGAATGAGTAGATGGCTTGCAAATCAATTTTAGTAAGTACGCCATCATGGGTCTGATCCGCACGCGCGAATAAGGCGTCTGCTTCTTTGGTATTTCCAAGGTTAAATTTGTTAACCCAGTCATCTGCAAATTCAGCCTTAGTTACTTGTCCATTGGCTGTTTAAAACAAAATAAGAAAGACATATAAAAATACATTAAATATACATTATGCAAGGATAAATCTGCCTACTGTTATCTAAATTATTAATTAGACATTTGTTAACAAAACAAGACCATAATGGCATCGGATACTCGATATTTTAACTAGATTAGAACGGTTCGCCATTAGCCTCGAATATACCAGTGCACAGGTTACCAAAATGCATTATGTAAGATTTAGATAAAGAGCTGACCATTCGTGCTATAATAGCTCAAATATAGATAATGTAAAATGAAAAATATTGAAAATTTCATTCAGATTACTTCATTCTGAGCCAAGTTATCACTGTTTGTAGTTTTGACAAGATTTGTGCATAGTGGTAACTAGGGCACTAGTATAATGTATACACGGGAACTGTTTTTTTTGTATCATCTGAATAACTAGACAGCTGTCCTGTGCCACTGACAAGGGAAAAAACCCGATAAACTTTCTCGGCGAATGCAGGGATCGAACACGCGACCTCCAGGCTAGCGAGCCAGCGCCTTACCCACTTAGCCACCGTGGCTCCCACCATATTTTGGTCTATTGTGATGGTGTACCTATTCTTGCTTCTGGTATTAAAACCAATAGATATAACAAAGTAAAGGCGAAGTATTTTTGAGATTTATTTAAGGTAGAAGAAAAATACCATCAGCATCATAGTATCTCGACGTTTGTTTGAGATTTATTTCAGATAGAAGAAATTACCATCAGTATGAAAATATCTTAAAGTATAACTGAGATTTATTTCAGATAGAATAAAATTACCATCAGTATGAAAATATCTTAAAGTATATCTGAGATTTATTTTAGATAGAAGGAACTTACCATCAGCGTCAAATAGAAGGAAAATGGCGTCCAATTCAGTTGGGTCTAAGTAATCGTTTTTATCAGTATCAACTTTGTCAAATAATTCGGCAGCTTTCAATGGTTCGGAATTACACCATACCAATGGCAAAACACTTAAATGAAATGAAATGAAATGGGATTTAACGTCCCACTGTTCTGCTCCGTCTGGGCTAATGAAGACGGGCATACGCCATACAGTGTGCTATGAGGGAACTTTTGCCCGGGCAGCGGCACTACGGCCTACTCTTATATCGAACTCCAAATGTCAATGGTTCTTTTAAGTACATGCCAATGTGTACACGGGACCTCGGGTTTTTGTACTATCCGAACGACTAGACACTTCCTTGCCAGGTCCTCCGTACTGCACAATTGACAAAGGGAGAAATAGGGTTTAACGTCCACTGGACACAAACCAGGTCATTTCTGGACTAACATATTGTTCAATTTTATTTCACTAATTCTCTTGCGCGTTGGGGTCTTTAGCAGTGGGAGGAAAGGGAGGACCCGGAGAAAACCCACGAGGTTGGACAGACTACCCTACTCCTTGTCACAGCTCCCCAATAGACATACTAGTGTATAGCACACATATTTAGAACGGGTCCTACTGATATAATTTCGAACTATAGAAATGTTGGAGGGTTGGGTGGCTGAATGGTTAGCGTGCGCGCGCTGTATCATAAAGTCTGTCATTGAGTCGACTGGCGTGGTTTCGAATCCCCGGTTGTACGTGACAAGGAGTAGGGTCGCCTGTCCAACCTCGTGGGTTTTCTCCAGGTCCTCCGGTTTCCTCCCACTGCTAAAGACCCCTATGCGCAAGCGAAATATTGAAATAAAATTAAACCATATGTTAGTCCCGAAATGACCTAGTTGTGTCGAGTGGACGAGTGGACGTTAAACCCCATTTCTCTCTCTCTCTCTATAGAAATGTTAATCTACATTTAAATATCTATCTATATACATGTATATGACGCACTGCGTTTAACGACTCTGTGACATTTAAAAATACATACTTTCAAGCTGACAAAGTCATCAACAATTATAACAATCCACTGAATTCAGACAGTAGTCAAAATATATACCATTTAAATATATTCAGTCGATTAGCCATTGCAAGATTTTCTTGGTGTTCCCATTATACGCTTGCCACTACTGACAAAACGGGTGTTAAACAAGCATTAACGCCTGCCTTAAAGGGCACACAGTACCAATGTAGACAAGGACCTGCGCATATTACGCGCCATCGCTGATAATTAAATTTAAACTTACCATGCTAAGAAAATAAATGCTTTCATTTTGACTGAAAATAGAATATTCATCGGGTGTAAATGAATTAAAAATGAAATAAAATGAAATGGGGTTTAACGTCCTACTGTTCTGCTCCGAACTGAGCTAATGAAGAAGGGTATACGCCTTACAGTGTGTTATGTGGGAAATTTTGCCCGGACAGTGGCACTACGGTCTACTCTTATATCGAATTCCAACTGTCAAGGGATCTTTTACGTCGGTTTTCATCCCATCCGAATTTTGTTCCCCAATAATTAGCGACAGGTATTGTGCACGAGACAGAGTATGCTACTTTTTAGAAAACTTGCTAGAAAAAAAAACTATCATAACCTCCTCGTTAGCTTATTTCACACACCAAGCAACCAAAGAATTTTCATTTTTATCAGAGCCGGAACGGGAAAAAACGACCTTAGCCCACTTTGTAATTTTAGATTTATACCTAAGAATACTAATAACAATATTCCTGCAAATGGTGACGGAAGCGTGGGCAGGTAAATTGTCTCGTTAAATTATTGTTATTCAAATGTTTAAGCATTACAGACTGATGTAACACAATCAATCACTCTAACTTCATGCATGTGATATGAATTACGGAATGGCGGAACACAATCAACCACTCTAACTTCATGCATATGGTATGAATAAAAACTATTTGATGTTTAATGAATAAATTAAAGACATATGCATATTGATACCTAGTTAAAGAGAGAATATAAATTCGACCTACCTGATCTAAAGAATGTATTCCAGCTGATACAAATTGACTAAATTATCCGCCTTTTACGTGTGTTATCTTGATAAGAAATAAATGCGGCCAGTTTACACAGATTGTGGTAACACTGTAAAATATATATAGTGTTTAAATATACACAACAAGGCTGTAAAATAAAATGACGTTAACGCATCCTCTTTGTCATGTGCGCGTTGGATTTGGATGGCTGAATGGTTAGTGAGTGCGCGTTGTATCATAAGGTCTGTCATTGAGTCAACTGGCATGGTTTCGATTCCACGGTTGTATGTGACAAGCAGTAGGATCGCCTGTCCAACCTCGTGGGTTTTCGCCGGGTCCTCCGGTTTCACCCCACTGCTAAAGATCCCTACGCGCAAGCAAATTATTGAAATAAAATTGAGTCATATGTTAGTCCTGAAATGACCTAGTTTGTGTCGAGTGGGCGTTAAACCCTCTCTCTCTCTCTCTCTCTCGTTCTCTCTTTGTCATGTGCTGAACAAATTGTGGATACATTTTCCAATAGAGATGAACGTGATCAGAGAGAACACTATGGTTACACCAAAGAGATTCTGATCCTTCCAGATAATTAATGTTTCGAATTTATTCGATCTGATCTTGTTGTTGGACTGGGGATCACGGTGGCTAAGCGGGGAAGACGCTAGCTCGCTAGTCTGAAGGTCGGGTGTTCGATCCCTGCACTGGCCGAGAAAGTTCATCCAGATTTTCAGGCGTGGTGTCCCCTTGTCAGTGATGCAGGACGGAGTGCCTGACAAGGACAGCTGTCTAGTCGTTAGGATGGGACGAAAAACCGAGGTCCCGTGTACGCGTTGGCGTTCCCGTAAAAGATCCCTTGGCAGTTGGAATTCGATATAAGAGTAGGCCGCTGTCCGGGCAAAATTTCCCTCATAGCACACAGTAGAACGTTAAACCCCATTGGATTTCTGACACGGACGAATTAGTAGCTAATCATAACAATTAATATTATGGTTATTACGCGAACTATGCTGTCACATGATTGTTCAAGAATTTGTCGAATTCTAACTCCAAATAGTTATCTAACGTGCGCGTTTAAAAGTAAACGGATTGGCCTCTGTTTTTTTGTCTTCTTCGAACGACTAGACCCCTTTCCTTACAAGTCCCGCCGTCCTGCACCCTGGACTTATAACTTATGTTATATTACTGTCACTCAAAGTAACATATTTATTATCAGTTTGTGTTTAGAGTGTATCTAATAGTGTTTACTGATATATTTAGCAACTGAACAATTCCGGTTTGTCTTATTTTAAACCAACAAAAGACATGATTTAAATGATAAAATCATAGATTCCTATTTAAAAATCACTTTAGCCTACATTTTAAGTTGCACACTCACCAAAATAAATTATTATAGTAAATGCTATGGTTACGTGTGCAAATTGCATGTGTGATGGGGGTGGGAGTGTCTTGCACACGTTGCCTTACAATTGCAGCATATTCGTCTTAGAATGACAACATATTCGTCTTAGAATAGCCTAGGTAATGTGTTGCTTCCATTCCATTAATTAATTTCGATCACAAACCCATAGTGGTGTGGAATTATAAATGTCCACATTAATCATTATAATCAATGTTGGTATTATTAGGGTCGAATTAATTTTTCAGTGGGCTAATCGCGCCGGCGGCCTAATGGTTAGTGCGTGCGCGTTGTATCATAGGTTCTGTCATTGAGTCAACACACGTGGTTTCGATTCGCCGGTTGTACGTGAGAAGGGGTTGGGTCCAACCTCGCGGATCTTCTCCGGGTCCTCCGTGTCCTCCGGTTTCCTCCCACTGTTAAAGCCCCCCACCCCCCTACGAGCAAGCGAATTATTGAAATAAAACTGAAACACATGTTACTCCCGTAATGACCTAGTTTGAGTCGAGTGAACGTTAAACCCCATTTCTCTTAAATATTGGAATAAAATTGAACCATATGTTACTCTCCTGAACTGACAAAGTTTGTGTCGAGTGAACGTACCCCCCCCCCTCTCTCTCTCTCTCTCTCTCTCTCATCGCGCCAGAAATTGTAAAGTAAGATACATAAAAGCAGTTGATATTTAACTAAAATTGTGGAATACAACTGATTTAATGTTAAATTATAAATAGACCTGTGTATTTGACCGCCTAAACAATGACCCAGACATCGACTCATACCATTAATAACAGCGGCGGGAATGAGTCCCCTTGTATCATGCCACACTGACCTGAAAACTTTGCACCGTCGTCAATATTTGATTTAAGATTTTAGGATAAATCGTTTAGATGTTTTTAATTTTCTAGGATAAGGACGGATATAAATCGTCGGTGTCGGTATCATACCTTTGAACAAGCTAATTTATTAGGAGATATGTCACATGTAAATCCTCCAACATATTTACATATTGTTCAACTGGCTTTTTACAACTGTCTAATTTGTCATTTGAAATTAAAAGCTCGGTGACATTTCAAGTGGAAGTATCAGCTAAACTATACAATTAAGGGGGGGTTGGATAGCCGAAAGGTTAGCTATATTATAAGGTTTGTCATTGAGTCAACTGGTGTGGTTTCGATTCCCCGGTGGTACGTGTCAAGGAGTAGGGTCGCCTGTCCAACCTCGTGAGTTTTCTCCGGGTCCTCCGGTTTCCTCCAACTGCTAAAGACCCCTACGCTCAAGCTATTTATTGAAATAAAATTGAACAATGTGTTAGTCCCGATATGACATAGTTTGTGTCGAGTGGACGTTTAACCCCACCTCCCCCCTCTCTCTCTCTCTCTCTCTCTCTATAAAATTAAGCACATCATGACGTGATACATGAGTTTTAAGATATTAATTTTTTGTTCCAACACGTCTAATGCAGATAGACACGCGACATTGTTTGTAAAATTCGAACGAATAGATTGACACCATTTCTTGCAAGGCCCCCATTTCTGCATAATTGGTGGGAAACGAGTCCTGAATTTCCTTGGCCAAAACTTGACTACTTGCTTTGTGAGTCAGCGCCACACTGGCACCAACAGACCATACGGGCACCAACAGACCATACTGGCACCAACAGACCATACCGACACCAACACACCATACTGGCACCAACAGACCACACGGATTCAGATTTGGATCATATTTAAAGATCGTGCAAATTGTGCGTATTTTCCCCAAAATTCCATCTAGTTAGAACTAGCCTTTGTTTTTTTAGTTATGATTTTGAGAGATAGGGAGAGAGAGAAAGAGAGAAATGGGGTTTAACGTCCACTCGACACAAAATAGGTCATTTCGGGACTAACATATGGTTTAATTTTATTTCAATAATTCGCTTGCGCGTAGGGTTTAGCAGTGGGAGGAAACCGGAGGACCCGGAGAAAACCCACGAGGTTGGACAGGCGACCCTACTCTTTGTCACGTACACCCGGGGAATCCAAACCACGCCAGTTGACTCAATGACAGACTTTATGATACAGCATGCACGTGCTAACCATTCGGCTATGCAACCCCCCATGACTTTGAGATCGTGAAGCCAACATTTTACGGACAAGATCTTCTTGGCCTTTCCTTGTATCAACTAACAATCTGGGACCTTTCTACACTTGGGGAAATTCAGAACAATCTAATCAGGCCCCGAGTTCACAAAGCATTCTCAGAATCAAGTTAAGAATTTACTCAACTTTCAATCACTGTTTATGAGAGAGAGAGAGAGAGAGAGAGAGAGAGAGATGGGGTTTAACGTCCACTCGACACAAACTAGGTCATTTCGGGACTAACATATGTTTTTTTTAATTTTATTTCAATAATTCGCTTGCGCGTAGGGGTCTTTAGCAGTGGGAGGAAACCGGAGGACCCGGAGAAAACCCACGAGGTTGGACAGGCGACCCTACTCCTTGTCACGTACAACCGGGGATTCGACACAGTTTATGAGAAATATCTTTAATCTAGAAACACAAAACTTTGTACATAGTTTCTTATTGATGTATTTGATACATAAAATTAACAAAAGTTTCATAAACGGCTATATTTTAGTTAAAATAAGGCGAACAATTTTGAGTAAATTCTTAACTTAAAGATACATTCCCGGGTATAAACTGGGTGATTTGATGATATATTTGGACTAAAAACATATTCAAACTAATTAATTTATCATAAATTTGCTTCAAATCCTTCTCAAAACATTGCAATTGTCGGGGAATACCCTGGCTATAAAAAGAGGTCATGTTTGGGTCAAGTGACTTACCTCTCTCAGTACCTAGCAACAGAAGCGAAGTCGGAGGAGAATTCAATGCATACACAAGACGATGTTGGCATTAATCGCTGACTATTTATTACAAACATCGAAGCCTAATTAAATTCTCGGATTATCCACTGCCCGCGTCTTTTTTCGTGATTTTTATCTCAGAAAGTGTTGTACGTCTAACTCTTCATAAAGTTTATCAACATGTACACCAAGCGCTCAATCTCCGCGTGCAACCATCGACGTCACGCGTGCAGATACTCCTAATCGTCGGGGAAACCCTTACATTTTTGTCCTGTATGTGCTCCATGAGTGTTTTTCAGGGAATCCAGTATTTTTCTAGTAAGATTGGATATTTCTACTTTCCATATATACCAAAATTGTCATACGTTTATTGGAAATAACCACCCGATAAATACTTTCCTGGGAACGTAGCTTTAAGTCTGAGAATGCTTTGTGAACTGTGTTTTTGATGTATTACACAGTTTATGTCGGTGCACCGGGCAATAAAAGAAATGACCCTGGATAATAACAGACGTCAACAAAATTAATAAGGTTGGCATGAGATAAAATGACGAAGCAATCCATGTCGATTTAAACTTCTATTACATGAATTATTATTTCTAATCTTATCATTAAATGTTATTTTAGTCTGGCGTCACACAATTCTGACCTTCAGTTTAACACGAAACATGCAAAGTTCATGTTATAATCCAATTCATTTTACGTTGCCACCGCTTATGGACACAGCTCAGCAAATATTCCTGCGCCGTCGCGAATGTAGGGCGAAAGTTATTTTTAGTCTTTCTATACCTTTCCCTTTTCACCCTTTTTCATGGCGATTTTGGTTGACTTGTTGGTGTAGAATCGAAGAAAACGGTTTGAAAATATATTTTCTTTCAGGTTTTGGTGAATATTCATGATTTTGAGTCAGTTGAGAGATTGGTTAGGGCGGAAAATTGCATTTTACTTCCAGTTTGTGTATCTCAAGTTTTCCATGGTGAACCTCATACGTGCTTTTGAGCAAATGGTTGCCACATGTTGCTCCATGTATGGTAGAAAGCGTTCTACCCAACGAAAATTTGAGAAAAAGTTAGAGCCGGTCTTAGAGACGAGAATTAACATTAAAGCCAATGGGGAAATCATGTTGTTGTTCTTCTTCTTAGTGTTTAATGTCTGCTTCCACCGAAGGTGATATCGAAGACAAGTCCTATTTTTTTTTCATTATCTCAGCGCACGGGTCTTTCCTGCGAGAGGAAACCGGAGTTAACCCACGAGGTTGAGAACGCGCCCCCCTATCTCCAAGTAACATACGCTGACACCAGGGATAGAAACCACAACAGCAAGCCAGAGGTGACCGGCCAACTAGAGGTCGAAGCGCGGCACTCAAGACCACTAGGCCATCCCAACCCCACGGGAAATCATTGGCGATCTGTGGCGTCATGGTTCTTTAATAGCACGTGACTACAGCGCACGCTTATATATATCAATGATAAACTGGTTGCTGACCGTCTCTTTTTGAAAGATTCTTATATTTGTTTTTAGATTTAAGACTACAGTAGGTCAAAAATATGACCCAATTATGCTGACCCAATCACATCTTTTAAATAGGCCAAAATATTCTCTCTCAACCTTTAGGTTCTCCTTTGTATGAAACGTCGCTTTATCAGCCGAAAAGTTTCTTGATCAAGGTATTTGCCATTCACTTTGATGTTTTGAACCGTCTTTTCTGTGTTCGTTTACCGGTCAGGTTTGCCGGACTAAGTCCCAATCATAGCGCCATTTGGCTGATAATGGGTGTCGTACCATATCGAATGAATAAAACTTAATATTTGAGGAATTGACATCTTTACATGTTGTGATCTAATTTTACCTCTATAAAAATGTGGAATTGTAAAATCGAGTCAGCCCAAGTGATGCTTCTAACAATGTTTAAAGGGGAATAACTACAATATGTCTCTGGATGCAGACTACTCAATATTCTCCGATTGCCTTTAATGTCTATCCGTTCGGTCTTTCACCCGTCTTCATTAGCCCAGTTCGGAGCAAAACAAAGACGTTAAACCCCATTTCATTTCATTTCGGTCTTTCATTTTGCGGCCGACCACCAAGAACTAGGTTTCAACAGTCGTATTAGTAAGCTTATTCAAACACAAGTGGTCCTTAGCACAACATTGACTCGGCAATAAGGTGGAGGCGTAGGCGTCCGTGGAATTCCCTGACCGAAATTTACAATCAATATTTGGCATTCCACGTTTTTGTTTATTTTAAAATGTACATTAGTAAAGTATTATATCATGTAGGTTATGAATAGGACTATGTTCTATTTGATCTCATGCATAAAAGAATTCAGTGAGATGATGTTTTAGAGACATTTAGTAACTTGATAGAGGAATAAACTATACAACACACTTATTTAGGCGACGTTTTCAAGAATAATCTCTCAATCAGTCAGTGTTCTTCCATAAGTGTGTGTTTTAGTTTATTAATTCAATGAGAGTTACAATATTAACAAATCATCCATTCGATAGTTGAAGGCTGGGTGATCGTGATGTTCTGACCTAATATCTGGATAATCTGAAATAATATAAATACATGTACATTGTAATACAATACGATTTAAAGACATAATTAAACGAATTCAGGTATTTACAATTTAGGTTAAACTTGTTTTCGGGAACTCGGCAGAATTATGGACTATAATGAGTAAACATATATCAATTAAATACACCTCTTGTGGCTCAGCGAATAAGGAGCTCGCCACTTAACCCGAATTGGCTGAGAAAATCCCCCAGAATTTGCAGAGTGGTTTACTTTGTCAGAACGGGGCTAAATCTAAAAGGTAAGGCCAGCTCAATTTTTGTCAAGGTCGCTGAGATGTAAATAAGATAAGGTCACGTGATTGTTGGCGATATTGTAGGTTAGGGTAAGCATTGGGGCTAGGTCCAAAGTTAGGGGTTAGGGCAGTGGTTCTCAACCTTTTTTTTTGCCAACGGCACACTTTGGAACACATGAAAAAATAGCGACACACCTGCCTAAATATAAGTGAAAAATATTTGAATTTTGCAAAATAAAAACATGGCAGGTCATAGACGGCATACAACCGTACATACAGACTAGACATTGACACATAACATGACTAAAACTAAATAAAGAAAAACACAGCTATGAACTTACTTTATTGAAGTTTTTCAAATTTCATCAGTTAAATAGCTGGCTTCTTTAGTAAATAATTTTGTTAGTGCGCCGTTCAAAATTTTGCGGCACACTTAGAAAGATCTCGCGGCACACCTGTGTGTTGAGAATCACTGGGTTAGGGTTAGTTTGGGATTAGCGCTAGCCCTGTTTATATCTCGTGACCTTTGACGAAAAATTGAGCTGACCTTATCATTTAGCACTAACCTCTCCGGGGGTTCTGGTATGCACATCAAGGCCTTATTAGCCTTCTCGGTGCAGACAAGTACGATGTTAAACCTTATTTCATTCATCTATTGATTCCATTCATTCATCCAACTATTTCAGCTCTTCGGCAGCTAATAATTGCTTGTTTGCAACGATTGTTAACTTTATTTCTTCTTACCTTGCCAGATTGCCTTATATTACTATCATGTATTCTAACACCATCAATAACAATTTTATATGGTATTCTATTTAACCCATAGATTTCGATACTTCTGATGAGTAGATTGTCCGCTTGTTGGTAGTTATGTACAACGGGGCTGATCGTAAGAAGCCCGGCCTGTAGTAAAACATTAAAGATACATTATGGGAGAATAGATAAAGAGTTGACTGTTCTCGCTATAATAGTCAAACAATAGATAATGTAAATAGAAGATGTTGAAAATTTCAGTCAAATTGCTCCACTATGAACCGAGATAATAGCTTTTGAATTTTAAGCCTAGCCTCGATCATCGGTACGATAAAAAAACATAGTCTCGGTTATCCATTTTTGGATTTAATCATCAATGAGCGTTGAGCAGCAGATTGGATTTCAATCCAGTAAAAAATCAGACACATAAGATGGCATCGAAGGTTAATTATGGTCTGGATAAGTTAATTAACGTTTTATTAATAGTTTATTCAATATTTTAGGCCTAAAGAACGACCTGCAATAGGCAGATTCAGCTCTTGCTTAATGTATGTTTAATAAACATAAATCTTATAGTAGATTCATTCGAGTTTAAGTCAAGGAAGTCATTTATTTGACAACTATAAGAAGAATAAACTTACCATATTCATACTGAACTTGATAACAGTAGATTGACCATTTACGTGTGTTTCTAGAATGAAATAACAATGAATGATACAGCTAAAATGTTATGGTTCGCGACTGATCAACCTTAAATGTATTGAATCGTGATCATTTGAACGTTAATGGGGTGTTGGATGGCCGAATGGTTAGCATGTGCGCACTGTATCATAAGGTCTGTCATTGAGTCAACTGGCTTGGTTTCGATTCCCCGCTTGTACGTGACAAGGAGTAGGGTCACCTGTCTAACGTCGTGGGTTTTCTCACGCAAACGATTTATTGAAATGAAATTAAACCATATGTTAGTCCCGAAATGACATAGTTTGTGTCGAGTGGACGTTACCCCCCCCCTCTCTCTCTCTCTCTCTCTCTATCTCTCTCTCTTGAAATTTAACAAACTACGAGATAACACATTTAAGCTCATATATAAACATACCTAAACTTTTTCCATCATCCAGAAATAGTTCACCATTAGCTAAATAATTCTCATCTAAAGCAATTATGATACCCATTGGATTCTTTCGACTTAAAGCACAAAAAACACAAATATTTAATACTAACATATTGCATTAATGACCTGACATCTTAAATGCAAGATGGTTATATGTAGGTATTTCACGCTGGAGTATAGTGTCGTTACCCTTGTCCGCACACCCACAATGCACGGAAAGGCTCCATATGTCAGAGTCTCTGATATTTTTATTCCAATCCAAGGAAGCCTACCGAAATTCAGATTCGCGCAGATTTTGTTGAAATGAGTTTTTGCGATTTTACTTTTTTAAACTTCCTGGGATAGTTTTGTGTTTTTGAGGATACTTAATTAACAGCTACTTAAAAATAGTTTTGAAACTATTTTCTAAACGTCAATTTACATACCTTTCAAATGTTGTAGTCGCTGGTTCTTGCCATGGTATCACGTGACCTCCTCTAATATGTAAATTAAATTTATCAATGGGTGTATAAAGTGAATGAGTTGTACCAGTCATCATTACTTCTTCTCCCTTAAACCAAAAACAAAGTGTGCGTTTTATCATAATGTCTGTCATTGAGTCAACTGACGTAGTTTCGATTCCCCGGTTGTACGTGACAAGGAGTAGGGTCGTCTGTCCAACCTCGTGGATTTTCTCGGGGTTTTCCGCCCCCCCCCCCCCACTGCTAAAGACCCCTACGTGCAA